CGTAGATTGTTGCTGGCACTCAGTGGCGGCTGGAACAGCTGCTGACATGGAGTGGAGGCCTGGGAGCCTGAGGTCTGGGGCCTACCAGCCCTTCCCACCCTGTTACCTTGGCCCCATTTTCCCTGATGCTGTTGCCAGCAACCTGCTTCTGGAAGGAACAAGTCCTGACACCCAGCTCCTCTTCCTCCTCCTCTTCTTCCTCCTCCTGGATGTCTGACAGGTCTGAATTGCGACCATGGTCCACAAGGGAGTTCGCAGGACGAACCCCGAGTTCTGCTGTGTCCTCCCTCTGAGAGACCAGACAAGGAGGGAGAAACGGGAAGGTCAGTGAGGGGGGACAGAGGGCTGCAGGCATGGCCAGCCCCAGTCAGAATCAAAGGGGCTCAGCAGAGGGAGCATGAACCTTGTCCAGAATGAGAGATATGCACGATGGGGGCGGGGGTGGTGGCAGAAGAAGGATTGGAACCAGACACGAGAGAGAAATCTGGAAAGACAAATGTGACAGACAGGCAGCACAAAGGGTCAGAGGTGGCCCAGAAGAGAGGTCACACAGAAAGGGCAGATTTGGACTGAGAAAAGGCAGGGCCCCGTTCTTGGGGGTGGTACCATGTGTCTCTAGCACCTACCTCAGCCTGGGGTCTCAACCCGGACCCTGTATCTCCTCTGAGGCAGGCCTCAGTATTCGGTGCCCTTTGAGCTGGCACTCCCTGGGTGGAGTGGGGTGCAAGGTGGGCCTCTCCCTCAGTCCACTCGGCCTCCTGTCTGGCCAGCGAGGGAACTATGGGGCCAGGGCCACTCTCGCCCTGGGCTGGCGAGCCAGCCCTCCTCTCCTCTGGAGCACCCAGCACAGCTGTCCCAGCTGCCTCCTCCTGGAATGGAAGGTCCTGAGGAAGAGCCCGAGTCCCAGGTCCTCCTCCCAGCCTGCACACGCTCCCTCAGTGCCCAGACAGGGTACCTGGCAGCCAGGCACTGGAAGTTCCCCTTCGGTTCCTTTTGGCATCTCTCTGGGAGGGCTTGATGGAGGGCCCCCCGGAGGCTCTTGAATTCCACAGGGGCCCGGGCGCCGGAGGGGAGAGCTGGGGTCTCCAGGCCTTGGGGAGGCTGGGGCAATGAGTGGTCTGGCCTCTGGGCTTGGTCGTGGTGAGGGGCAGGAGCTCCTGGCTGGCAGGCAGGCTGGAGCCAGCGCTGGTGTGATGGGAGCCGGGATGGAGTCGGCCGACTCGCCATGGGGCGACATGGTGCGCACGGTCACCTCATGGCACACCTGCAGCAGTTGCAGCTGAGACAACTCCACCAGCACGCTGCCTGCTGTGGGTGAGGCCACCTCCATGATCTGCAGGGTAAAAGGCACACAAGACAGGAAGGATGACAGAGAGCCGAGAGTGAGCCATGACGGCAACGGGGGTGGCTGGCGTCGCACCAAACCTTGTGCTAAGCCCTTCGCCTGACTCATCTCGTGTACTCCTTCTCTGGAGCAGTTCAAATTGATCATGTGCCCCCAAAGCTCACACTCGTAACCAGTCTGCCATACAGTGACCGAAGGCCAAGGCCCGGGCATCTCTGTGCCAGACCAGGGAGACTAGGGCCTAGAGCATGGCACAGAAGGGTCACATCCTACTCCCAGGGTATAGCAGGTGGGTCCTCCAGTCATACCTTCTGCCCATCAGCATAGATGGCATAGCCTGTGACCCGGACACCATTGGAGGTGCCAGCAGCATCAATGGTGACAGGGAGCCAACTGATGATCAAGATCCCAGGGGAGGGCCCGGGCTCAATCTGCACATCCAAGGGGGCATCGGGTGGGCCTGGGGGAAGGACAGCGGCAGACCCAGCAATTAGGACACTCCCCACCAGAGAAATCAGCCCAATTTGCCATATCCCCGAGCACCCACCTACACTCATGGCCTGGCCTGAGTGTTACGGACGTTGGCGCCTGAGCCCGCATACCTGCTGGGAGTGTGGTGAACTGTAGAGTGGCGGCCCGCTGCTCCAGCTTCTCCCAGCCTGGCTCCCAGGACCCTCGGGGCGGAAGCTGAGCCTCCACCCGGGCCTGATAGAGTGTGCCAGGCCGCAGGTGGCAAAAGGTGGCCCAGTAGGTGCTGGGGCGGGCAGCTGGGCACTCTTCCCCATTGAGGTAGATGGCATGGGCCAAGTTGCTATTGCTGGGCACCCAGGTGATCTCAGCAGATGTGGCTGTCAACCGATGGACTCGCAGCTGGCTGGGTACCAGGCCAGCCCGAGCGCCCACGGCCAAGCAGCAGCGCAGAGGGTCGGAGCTGCCCTTGCTGGTCAGGGCCTGGACAGAAACATGGAGGGGCCCGGCCCGCAGGTCCAGGTTCTCAAGTACTGCCTTGGGGGGCACCCCAGGCCCCAAGGCCTGTTGCAGCTCCCCATTCACGCAGATATGGAAGCCTCGGAGCTCCACTCGTTCGGGAGGCAGTTCCCACGCCAGCACCAAGCTATGGGCCAGCTGCTTGAGGACCACCAAATGGCGGGGGTAAGGCACTGCAGGAGGCTCGCCCAGGCCCTCCGGTGGGGGGCTCAGACTGAGTTCATCCCCTGCATCCTCCTCCTCCTCTGGTTTAGGCTGGCTGCGTCCCCCGCTGCTCTGGCCCCCGCTACTGCTGCCACCCCCACCTCCGCTCAGGAAACTGAGTTCGGGACCTGAGCTGTGGGACAGATCGGCCAACTCCGGAGGGAGGGAGGTCAGGAGATCGTCATCAGACACACGCTCTACAAAATTGGAAGGAACCAGGCCCCTTCGGCCATCCATGAGCTCCCCTGGCAGAGGGGGGACAGGAAAGGACAGGGATGGGGAAGACAGAAAGGAGGTAGAGAAAAACCAGTCCAATAAATGCATTTGAGCAACTGCTAGTGATTGATCTTAAGCATTTGGTTCAAATCAACATTTACCTGTCAGTGGTTTTACAAGATAAAAGCAGTCAAGATCAGGAGCAGAGGTACTGTTAGTCTCTGTAGGTGTGACAATGGTACTTTGGTTAAATGGGACAGTGCTGCTTAAAGTTTAGCATGCATAAGAATCACCTGGAGATGGGGCGTTGTTTTTGGTGTTGGGCTGTTTCAGCGTGCTCTTTAGAGAAGAAGCAAGCAGTCCCCAATGGGGCACAGTCACATCCCAATCCCTTCTGTCATCTCCCCATCGTATCGGGATTTTGGCCACACATACACATGTCCAGTGTGTTTTTTAGGCCGCCAGGGCCAGGATCCAATCCTAGGCAGTGGGGCTGTTGCCATCCGGGGATTTGGGTTAAAATGCAGATTCTAATTCAGGTAGGTCTGGGGGAGGCTGAGATCCTGCTTTTCTAATAGGCTCCCACATGAGGCTGGTGCTGCAAGGATGAGGATGATGTGCATGTTCCAAGGAGATGCATACTGAGGGACATGATAATTACGATTTGCTTTTAAATGTTTAATGTGGGGACAGCGGGCAGCGTGGTGGTTAAGGTGCTAGATTCCCACATGGCTGACCACGGTTCGAGCTCTGGACCTGGCAGCTTGCTTTTTCACTTTCTCTCTCTCTCTGGTGAGTGTACATGCCCTGTAGTAAGCTAAAAATAATGATACATAAATAAATCTTTTAAAAAGATAATATTTAATCTACATAGGGATAAAACAAATACAGCACAAAACTGTAGGTGGGTATACATAGGGTCTTCAAATTTAAAGAAAATGTATATTATGGGGGATGGCACCTGGTGAGGTGGTTAAGGGCACTGGATTCCCACATGGTCGACTATGGTTCGAGTCCTGGACTTGGCAACTTGCTTTCCTACATTTTTTCTCTCTCTGTCCCTCTCTGGTAAAATTAAAATAAATAAATAAAGTTTAAACAACCATTTTTTAAAAATGAAAATGTAGGGACCAGCAGTTGTGGCTATGTCACTGGACTCCCACACAGTCGACCGTGGTTCGAGTCCCGGACCCGGTGGCTTAAATTCACGCCAGGTGCGTGTGCATGTGTGCCCAAGATCCCGAGAGGAAAATGGAGGAGAAGGGATTGCAGTGTGGCCATTCCCCCGGGGAGTGATTTCTCACTTTCTGTCTCTCTGTCTCTCTCTCTGTCTGGCGAGTGCACACACCCTATAGCAAAAACCTCTCCAAAAAAAAAGGAAAATGTATATAATGAAAAAATTATAAAGGATTTCAACATTTTTTTGCAAATTAAACTTATATCTTAATTCCATTTTTCCATAAACATCTTTTTTTAGGGTTGGTTTTTTTTTTTTTTTTTTGCCTTAAAGCATATGCACTTGCTAGACAGAGACAAAGAGACAGTGAGAGGGAAAGTGAGAAAGCATTCCCCAAGGGGGATGACCGAGCCACAATCCCTTCTCTGCACATACATAGCCTCATGTGATTTTCAAGCCACGGGATCTGGGACTTGAAACGCACTCAGCCATGTGAAAGTCCAGCAACATAACCACTACACCACCTGCTAGTCCCTTCCACAAACTTTTTGAAATCCCCATATATAGGTGTTCCTTATACCATTCTTTGATTTTTCTGTGCATTTGAAATGTTTCATATGAAAAGTTTAAAAAAGTGAATAGATTGTGATGGGAAAGCTTCGATAGTGAGTTTTTTGTTTTTGGGTTTTTGCCATAGGGCATGTTTGCTCACGGGCCACATTGCACTCCCTTCTCCATTCTCTTCTCAGGATTTTGGGCATGCACGCACATGTGCCCAGTGTGATTTTTAAGCCACTAGGTCTGGGACTCCAACCATGGTTGGTCATGTGGAAGTCCAGCACCTTAACCCCTATGCTACCTTCTGGCTCCCTGATAGTGAGTTTTCAGCAGTCCTGGGGGGCAAGGGGATGGGGTCCCCTCTACTTCCCTTGGTGAAAAATGGACAACCATAACCACCTCATCAATGTAAGGGAAAGAATCTTTAGAGAAAAAAGTGTAAGTCTCAGAGTAAGAGTCACTTGTGGGTTCTAAAAGGGGTTAGGACCCACAGTAGGCCCTTGTGTAGGAGCATGAGTGGTGGTCAGCCCAGCAGCAAACAAGTTTTGTTACCTGCGACAATTCTCTTGACAATAGACTATTTTATAACAGTTGTCTGTTTGAGGAATACTGAGACAATAGACTATTTTATAACAGTTGTCTGTTTGAGGAATACTGAGGAAGAAGGAAGCCAGGCATGCAGCATGTACTATCATGGCCAGCTTAAAGATGGAAGCCAACTCTCAGGGAACAGACGGCTGGCTGGCGGCTGCTGAGCCATATTGGGAGGAAGGGGAAACAGGGGCTTGGGCTTAGAGCAGAGAGATGAGCATAGGCCGGTCTGAGCGGCAAAGGTGGGGGTTTCCCCAACAGTAATTTGTGTTCCCTACTCTCTTTCTCTACTTATGGCAGCAGAAAAACAAAACATAGTAAGGAAACTTGAAGCAACCACAGAGACTCTCAATAAGTTAGATAACACAACAAACACTGTAATGGGTTGAATGGTGGCCACCCATTCTTAATCCCTGGAACCTGTGACTATGACCTTATTTAGAAAAAGTGTCTTTATGAATGCAATTAAGTTAAGGATCTTGAGATAGATCATCCTAGTTTATCTGGGTGAGTCTTAAATCTAATGACAAGTGTAGAGGAGAAACACAGCGAGGAGAGACGCTGAGAAAGGTGACCATGGGCACAGAGACTAAAACAATGTAGGCAAAAGCCGAAGAACGCCTGGAGCCACCAGAAGCTTCAAGAAACAAGGAATGGACTCTCCCCAAGAGCTTCCAGAGGGAGTATGGTCCTGCTAACACTTAATTTAAGACTTCTGGTCTCCAAAAGAGGCCAACAAAAGAATAAATGTCTGTTGCTTTTTTTTTTTCTTTTTTTGGAGAGGTTTTTGGTTTTTGCTTTAGGGCGCATGCACTCACCAGAAAGACAGAGAGAGACAGAGAGACAGAAAGCGAGAAATCATCCCCCGGGGGGATGGTCACGCCGCAATCCCTTCTCCTCCATTCTTCTCTTGGGATCTTGGGCATGCACGCACGCACGCACACACGCCCGGCATGAGCTTTAAACCACCGGGTCCGGGACGTGAACCGCAGTCGAATACATGGGGGTCCAGCGACATAGCCATTACGCTAACTGCTGGCCCCAAGAATAAATGCCTGTTGCTTAAAGCCCGTAAGTTGGTGGTCATTTGTCACGGCAGCCCTGGGAAATGAATACAAGCACTAGCATTGGTAGTGAGAGTAAAGGTAGGAGCCTGTGACTCAAAGCATCTATGGCCTGCAAAGTTGAAGCAGGAGCCTGGGCCAAAGGCAGGCTCCGGAGTTCCTGCCTCTGAGAACAGACTAGGAGGGACATGAAACAGACACCCAGCTCTTTGGCTAAGGTGTGATAAGGAGTATGATATCCAATTATCTACGCTTAAAATCAACTCCAATCTGCCCCAGATAATATAGTTCGAATTCTAGCAACTTGTGGTTAGTTAATATTTACCCTTTGGGGCTAGCAATGGTAGCACAGAATTAACACTATGCTCTCTTCTGCTGGACCTGCATGAGAAGGTCCTGAGTTCAAGCCCTGAAGCCTCCCTATACATGTCAGGCTCAGGCACATGCTTGATCTGGAGGTGGATCACAGAGTGAGAGGACCTGCTGGGACTGCCTCTCTTTGTCTCTATCTTTCTCTGTCTCTCTCATGGAAGAAAGAAGGAACTATACACACACACCTCTTTTTTTGCTCCTGATGGCCTCTTTTTGAACATAGGTGTCTGGGCATTATTTCTTTGTTTTTCATATAGATAGACAGATAGATAGATAGATATCGATATGTGATATATGATATACATGGTTTTATTATATATGATATATATAATATATTATATATGATATTGATTGATATATGTGTGTGTGTGTGTGTATATATATATTCCTGGAAGTGACTGAACTCTGCTCTTTGTAATCATCTAGGCTCCAAAGTTTTCGGTGTTGCAGACTCAGATCTAACCCCTTTCCTAAATCTCCACACACAGAGGTGGCCCTTACCCTGCCCCTTCCACAGCGCATCCCAGTCTATGCAGTATGTCCTCCACGCTGCTGAAACATGCAGCCTGTTGCCCAGACCGGGGCTAGCCTGAGGGCATTTTTCGAGACCATTCCTTTTCCAGGCCCTGTCCTGTTGCCCAGCCTCAAGGGCCTTTGCCCCAATTGCTGGATGAGTCTTTTGGCTTCCCACAGGAACCTGAGAATTGCCTTGAAGCTCACGCCCTGCCCCATAACTGCTAACCACGTGCCATCACCATCTCTGGAATCTGGTGTCCTATCTGGAGTCTAACACTGAATCCATGCTCACGCCTGACTTCATGTTTAACTACTGTTCAACACCACCATGCCTTTCCTGTCGACCAGCACAAAATGAGTCTAGCCTGAATGCCCCGTAACACTATGTCCACCACCCAGACTGTGGTACATCCTGTCTTGTCCTGCTTCGGGTCTGGCTCCTTTCTCTCTCTCCCCATTGGCTGCTAGGTCTGTATGCCTTTCAGCTGGGTCTGAAAGGTTATGGTGCACTGAGCATGCTGGGGAGAGGGGACGGATGGATAGATAGAGGTCTTTAAACAGGAGCTTAAATGCAGGAGAATGGACAGAAATCCCTGCTACCCTCCTACCTTCAAAAAAGCCATCCTCGTCCATGTTACCATAGATGTAGATATACTCGCCAGCTGTCAGCGGAAGCTCTGCCTCTGGGTTCTCATTGGGGCCCTCAAAAGGGTTGTAGCTGTTGGGGGAGGTACAGAGGTGGGGGACAGGGACCCACATTCCACTTTCAAGTCCCATCTTCTCTCCACCCCCCCACCCACCCCCACACTAAGCCTTTCTGGAGATCCAGTTGTCTGCCCTTAGCCAAGTAAACCGCTCCCTGCGCCCAGCCTGGGCTAACCAGGTTAGAAGAGTAGGCCCAGTAGGAATCCTTGCACCACTCCCATTATCTCCAAAGGTCTCTATCTTGGCCCAGCCCTCCTTCAAAATGCTGGGGGTAGGAGGCAAGAAGTGAGGGTGAGGGGCCCACCTATAGCGTGCTAGGAAGACCTGGATCCTGGCTCCTCCCCGGCTGCCCTCCGTTGCTGCAGGGAGCAGGGTGACACTGTCTGCCTCCAGCTCCTCCACCTCACTGGCTGTGTCCACCTGGAGGTAAAAAAAAGCGGGGGGGGGCTGGTTCCTCTCCAGTGCCTGGGCCCAAAGTAGACAGGTTTCCAGGCTGAGCCAGTGGAGGACCAGTTGCTTTGAAGAGGGGAAGTGAGCACGTGTGCATGTTGGTCCAGGCCAGCAGTAATGAGTCCCGATGTCTTCTAAATCAGCACCTGAGCAGGCAGGACCCGGCAGAGTTCAGCTGGCCTAGACAGGGATGGGGGCAGGGGCTGGGGGGCGGTGGAACCTGGATGTCTCCCTGAACCCTGCCTCTACTGCACCAGCCAACGAAATAAGGCCGCCTCCCTGTCTGAGAGAGGGCCAGGTCATGCTGGCATGGGGAGTGGGCATCAATGGCAAATTGGTTCCTTAAGGTAAACACACAACCAAGTATCCTGATCATAAAGAGGTGGAAGTAGCGAGGCAGAAGAGGCTGGAGAAGTCCCTGTCTTAGCATTGACAAGGCACCTGCAATTCAGCTCTGGAGCTCAGAACTTCCTGTCTACCTGCCTGGCCCACATCTGGGTGCCCCAATTCTCTGACCTTGGTTCAGATTGCTGGGGCTGGCCTGGGTGCTGGCCCAGGGAACAGGCTCTTATCTTCTCTCCCAAAGTCAGGGAGGGGACGGGGCAGCCCTGGCAGGACTGCAGCTGAAGCCAGCACCACCATTTTATCACACAAGAGGGCAGCAGAGGTCTGGGGTTGAGCTCTGCATTCTGAGTAGCAGTTACTCCTGACTTGCCCCCTCCTCCTTCTGGGGTTCACGGGTGGCAGGAGGGATGAGGTGATGCAAAGAGCCGTGAGCTGACAACAGCACCCCTGTGTGGCCTGCGCTGAGGCAGGCATGTCCTATTATCTTGTCGTGTAACCCTCACAACCTTAGACGGCAGGTTTTATTTACCCCAGTATTCCAAGAAGGAAACCGAGCCCACCGAGGGTCAGCGATTTGCCCAAGACAGAGCTGTGACTTGAATCCTAGAGCCTGAGCTGATTCTCACATGGCCATCTGCTTGCGCTACAGACTCTTCTGAACAGTCTCATTAGGTGAATCCTGGCGCCACAGTGTCTCCTCCCTCCAGCCCAGGACTCCAGGGCCTCCCTGAGCCCCTGAGGGGTGGGGCTGATAGCCCCAAGTCGAGGCTCACAGCAGGTCCTGAAGAGCAGGGGATAGGCTCCACCTGAGCTTTCTGCCCACAAGGAGGAATCCACAGGCCTTCCACCTCCCAACTTGGCACCAGTGGCCACCCAACCCCTGGAGACCGTGGGAGGTGTCAAGGCCACCTCCCCTCCCCCAGTCAAAGCCAGCATCCCAGCCCCCAGCTTCACTGACCTCAGGTGTAGGGCACGACTTGGGGCTGTTGTGGATGGACTCCGAGCGAGAGGAGTTAGAGAGGGATTCTGCTTTCTTGGCTGCCCTTCGAGGGACTCCAGAAAGTGTCGCAGGGCCAGACTCGGAAGACTTTGGGGTACAGCGTCCTGGAGAGCCCGGCGGGAGGTCAAGGTCTAAAGAGAAGATGGCATGTGGGCTCAGGGTCTGTAGCCTATGGAGGGGCAGGGAGATGTGGTGGAGCCTCTTGGATAAGAGGGTCAGGCCTCCCACACCTGGGTTTCCTTGCAAAAAGGGAAATACTTAGGAGACAACTTACAAAGTAGTGGCCTCAGTGATTTGCCTACCCTATTTCACATGATACTAAGGGCAGTCTGATGAAATGTATCCTGTCTTATGAAAACTGAGATGACGGCCCAGAGAGGCTAAACAGCATGCTCAGAATCACACTGCTAAGCAAGTGGAGCTGGGACCACCAGACCTGACTGACCCTAAGTATGAGTTTTCACAAAACCTTCCTGTCCGCTGCTGACTCCTTGTACTCAAGTCCCAGCTAGGTCCATAGAGCTCTTTTTTTATTTTTATTTTTTGGAGAGATTTTCACTATAGGGCATGTGTGCTCGCCAGACAGACAGAGAGACATAGAGACAGAAAGCGAGAAATCCCCCAGGGGGGATGGTCACGTCGCAATCCCTTCTCCTCCATTCTCCTCTCGGGATCTTGGGCACACATGCACACGCGCCCAGCGTGAGTTTTAAGCCACCGGGTCCGGGATGCGAACTGCGGTCGACCACGTGGGAGTCCAGCGACATAGCCATTACGCCAACCGCTGGTTCCTGCACAGAGCTCTTCTTGAAGGGAAATGAGCAGTGACCTGAGATCCTAGGCCATCCCGGTGGTCACTCCGGTGGGCTTTGCTTTTCCCCATCAGAGTCTGGTTCTAGTTGGGCCTGGCTCGAACTTGTTATGCGACTTTGGGTGAGGCGCTGGCCTTGCCTGATTCCGAACTCCCAGCTCTACAGAAAAACTCCAGGCCTGGGGCCGGCAGGTGGCACGGTGGTTAAGGATGCTGAACTCCTGCATGGCTGACTATGGTTCGAGTCCTGGACTTGGCAGCTTACTTTCTCACTTTCCCTCTCTCTATCTCTCTCTTTCACTCACTCTGTCCCTCTCTGGTCAAATTAAAATAAATAAAGTTAAATAAAATAATTATTAAAAGAATAAAACCTCCAGGCCTGAGGATTTCAGCTCAATGTCAGTGGGGTCCATCTTACCTTTGGGGCCGGACCCCCGGCAGGGCTGGGGGGTGGAACAGCAGCAAGGGGGTGGTGCGCGGTCCCCGAGGGCACTGCAGCCCATGGCAGAAGTGAGCAGATCCAAAGGGCCAGGGTGCAGGCGGAAGGCCTGGAGTTCCTGCGCCAGGAGACTGAAGCGCTCTGTTTGGCTGCGACACTGCTCCTCGAGCTCTCGGACACGGGCCTGGGCCAAGACCCACCATGAGCCACCAGGCCTGGCAGGGCTCCTCTCCACACCAGGCGTCACGTCACATCTGCCCAGCCCTCAAGTCCGGGCGCCAACTCTGGCCTGACCGCCCCACTGAGGGCAAAGCCCAAGGCCGAAGAACATCTTCCCCCCAGCCCTCCTCGGCTGTACCCCCAGCCCTCACTGCTGCCCCAGGCCAGGGTACTCCTAGGATTGTTCCTACTCCCCCATCACCAGCAGCATCACCTCGGGAGTTTCTCAGCTTCATCTCTGACACCCTCCCACAGACAGTGACCCAAATCTCTGCCCTCTGAGAGGTGGGCAAGTGCTCCTACAGGGAAGCTTGGGCCACCTTCATAACAGGACAAGAACTTCTCTCTCGTAGCAGGAGAGCCCAATGCCAGGGGCTCCCCTTGGCCAGTATCACGAGCATCCTGAGCTCACTGGTGATGAACTCTGAGTGGCTAGAGGAGGGACGGGCCCATGGCTGCCTGGCACAGCCGAGGTCTGGGATGAGGCGCTGGCCCGTATGAGGAACCCCAGCCCATCTATGGATTCTCAGGTCTGCTACCAGTGACAGCCCCTCTACTGGCCCTGAGAGTTGGGACCATCTGGACCCTGAGGGGAGAGACAAAGCTCAGCCCCCCTGAGGTGTGGGAAGGGGATACCCCAGGGAGGTGGGGAGACAAGGAGGATGTACCTGCATGGAATCCAAGGTAGACTGTGGCAGGAAAGGAAAGCGCAGAGGAAGGTTAGAACCCTTAGCCCTGTAGGTCATGAACCCAGAGAGGGAGGGAGAGAAAGAGGGGCCTAAGTGGGCACCATCCATCAGCTCCCAGGAGTGACTGAGCAGTTCCTAAGTGCGAGGACAATTCAGGGCGAAGGCAGCCTCTGAGGAGGGTGGCAATGGGAGATTCCTGCGGTCAGATGCAGGATTTCCCTTGCCAGCTGTGGCCCAGCCTGGACACCAGCCTGATGGTGAACGGGTTGCCCCAGGCTCTGCAGCATTTAAGGGCCTCTCCTGCAATGCCCCTCAACCATGCACACAGTCCATTAGAGCTCTCTCTGAGGCTTTCCTACCTCCCCCATTCCCATGGAGGAGCTGATGGCCACCTCCGGGGACCCTACCTCCAGCAGCTGCACAGCTCCTTCATGCTCCCTCTTGGCTTCTGCCTGGGCCTAGAGGTGGGAGGAGACAAATTGCCAACAGGGAAGGACAGGAACGGGTGGAGTAGAGGGAGTGCAAGGGAGGGAGAGGAGGGAGAAGGAGAAAGGAGGAATGGAGGAGAAAGAAAAAAGGGAAGGAAACAAAGGACGGGGAATTGGGAAGGGGGAGGTTGAAGGATTTCCTGCTCCCAAACTCTCACCCTGAACCCTTAGACTAGAAGATACAGGGGTCAAGAAGGGCTGAGCCTGACTCAGGACTCGGTGCTGGGCCCACTGTACACTCTCTGCTCTCTCCCAAGGGGTCCCATCTGGTCTCACCACTAAGCCCACGGATGACTCCAAGTATCTCCGAGAGCAGCTTCCCTGTAACTCCAGACCCTTTTACCCAGCTATCCATGGACGACTCCATGAACCATTGAACACCCAACCCAAACTTGGCGGGAACAGAACCCAGAAAGGCAGGGTTTCAAATCTGCTGTCCCTTCATGCTTCACCGGGTGAGTGAAAGGCACACCCTTCTCCAGGGTTTATGTGGCAAAAGGGTGACAGAGCAGGGATTCACCTGGAATCCCACAGTGAGCCTCAGCAGCTTCATCTCTAAAAGGTGTTTCAAATCCACCCACCCGTTTCCATCTCCACTGCCTGCACCCTGGTCCAGACGATCATCATGACCCTCTTGGACCACTGCCCTTAACAGCCAGTTGCCCTGCTCTGTGCCCACTGCCATAGTCCATCCTCCACAGTGCCACCAAAGTGGTCTCGGGATGAAGAAGCAGGTCCTGTTACTCCCCTGCTTAGGACTTTTCGAACAGCTTCTATCACTCAATAGAAATATCCAAACTCTTCCCATGGCCTTTAAGGCCCTACAGGGTCCAGCTCTTGCCCACTCCTGCTGCTCTGTCCATCCCTTGCTATGTTCTAGCCACACTGGTCTTGGACCCCTCAGCTCTTCCTTGACACAGAGTATTAGCCTGTCTCCTCCCCCTACCTTGCCTTGATGGATCAGCTCAAGGATTGATGGATTGTCACCTCCTCAGGGAAGCCTTTCCTGGGGACCTCTCTACACTGGCTCCTCAGCCTTTCCCAGGCCCTCTCTGTCACATCGCCCTGCTCCTCTCCCCCGCTGTGCTTGTCAGTGTCTGAAATCATCTCACTCATGGATCTGCCCTCCTGCTGATTGGTCAAGGACCTGGTCTTGGCTCATGGTTGTCTGCCTAGGACCGAGCACAGCACCTGGCACACAGTGGGTGCTCAGCAAATGCTTGTGGATGAATGGATGGTGAAGTGGGGGTCCAGCAGCCTAGCACCCTTCCCTCACTCCTGCCCCACCTGCTGCAGCCTCTGGACCTCCTCCTGCTTCTCCTGCAGGCTGAGTCGAGCCTGCTCATGCTCCACCTCCAGCTGCTGCCGCCGCTGGGCCACCTCCCGCATGTGCTGAAAAATATAAGAGCTGGGTCAAGACCAGAACCCTCCACTCTGCCGTTTCTGTGAATGATCTCAGATGAGAGGGCCACACACACCATCCACTCCAGACCCCCTCTATTGAAAGGGAAAGTGAGGTGGGGGCCGTACAGTGGTGCAGCAGTAAAACGCAATGCTCTGTGAGGATGATCCAAACCGAAAGGTTCTAAGTTCGTGTCTAGAGATCTCTATGAGGGAGCCAAAATGGATCATAGCATTAAGGCCCTTTTGGAAGTCCCATCTCTCTCTGACTCACTCATGGAAAAAATAAGTAAACAAACTAAAAAAAAAAAAAAAAAAGGGGGCTAACAGGTGCCACAGAGGTTATGGCATCTGGATCCCACATGGCTGACTATGCTGTTTGAGTCCCAGACCCAGCAGCTTGAAAAACATACCAGGCATGTGTGTGCATACCCAAAATCACAGCAGGAGAATGGAGAAGGGACTTGTGGTGTGGCCACCCCCCTGGGGGTGAGATATCACATTCCCTCTCACGCATGTCATCTCTCTCTCTCTCTCTTTCTCTCTCTCTCTCCAGCAAGCTCACACACTCTATAGGAAAATTTTAAAAGAAAAGGGAGGAGGGGCTGAGATGAGAAGGCAAGTGAGGCTGGCAGTCCCAGGACTGGGCCTCAGACCCCGGCGTCCCACCAAGGGCATATACTGTCCCACTCTCTCCCTGTGCCAGGAACCAACACTCTCTTCCACCTGCACAGTCCCCTCACCTTTAGCACCTGCTCCAGGCTCTCCAGTTTGCTCTGCAGGCCCTGGCTCTTGCGAAGGGCTGTGTCCCTCTCCTGTGTCACTCCCAGGAGCTGGCCCCTCAGCTCCACATTCTCCCACTCCACCTGAAAGGGGCAGTGGCAGGGACCGGGGTGTGTGAGTCTTCTCCTACCAGCTCCCTCAACAGGGGGAACAGTACCCTTCACGTTCTATCCCAGTTCAGGAGATAGAGGAGAAGTCCCTTGCCCAGGAACCAGGGCCCCAGCAAGAGCTCAGGCCTCCACAGCACTTGGGCAGGGCTGGTACCTGCTCCTTCTCCGTGGCTCTCCCACTGAGCCGAGAATTCTCCTCCACCAGCCGGGCATTCTCAGTCTGGGCTTCTCTCAGCTGCAGTTCCTGTGGGGGCAGAGGAGCTCTGGGGAGGGGGCCCAGATCCCATCTTCCTTCTTCCCACAGAGAGGAAGAGCTTAGTCCTCTCCCAGGCAAGGCCTTCCTTCCCTGCCTGGACCCTGCATCAGCCAGGAAAGGAGGGCACATGGAGCAGGAGGCAGTGTGTGTTGTTAAGGGCAGGAGGGAGGAAGGCAGAGCTGGCCTGGGGGGACAAAGGAGCTGGCCTCTGGGCGGCCCTCCAGAGCTCACCAGCTCCTCACATCGCCTCTGCTTTTTCCGGGCTTCCTGCTCCAAGCTCTCACATTTCTTCCGCTTCTTGCTGAGCTCCGACTCCTACAGGGCCAGAGGGAGGGCTCCTCAGGTGAGAAGGCCATCTTCCCACAGGTGGTCACCCCAGCCCTTGACCTGGGACTTACCAGCTGCTGCACCCTCTGCTGTTTCTCTGGCTCCCCTAGGATCACAGGTGGGTTGTCCACATCTTCCTGGGGCGTGGCCTGGAAATAGCCAGGGCATGGGGCTGGCACGTGAGAACAGAGCCCCAGGCAGCCTACCCCTAGCCCAGCCGGCTGGTGAGTGGAAGGTTCTCACCCCCACGGCACAGGCACCAATTAGATCCCTGCCTAGGAAGGGGGGAGGTGAGGGACTGTCTGCCCACCCCCTGCCATCATCTCCCACTGATGTGGAAGGGCAGTGGCTGGACTCCATGTCCCCGAGCCATAAGTGCTTTGAGATCCTGGGATCCACGTGCACCCTGGGAGACGGGTCCTTTATCCAGGCCAAAGCTTTCCCTTTTTAGCTTCCAGCAGCAGCCCTGCTCTGCACTCAATAACTGTCCTGGTGTCCTTCAGTGATGGCAGAGAATGAGGAGGCTGCTTGGGCCCCCAGGGCGCTGGTGTTCCCAGAGCTAGGGGTTCTGGATCATACAAATAGGTGATTGGCTCAGAGCACTGCAAGCCTGGCCAACCCCTCCTCCTGGCCTCCCCCAAACCCATCCTACTGCACCCCACCTATCCGTGCAAACTTTTGGGGAGACAGGTCCTCCAGATGGGAGGTGCGTCTCCCTCCCTGGGCCAGTAGAGAGGCAAAATCTGAACAAGCAGCCGCCCCCACCCGGAGGCCTTGGTCCTCCTCCCACCCTCTTCCCAGGAGACAGAACTAGGTGCTGTCCACCTAGTGTGTGGGCGAGGAGCCAGACCCCCAAATTCTGAGGGTCTGGAGTAGGCCCCTGGCCCTCGGGACAGGGACTGCCTACGTCCCACGCTCAGTGAGGGTCGCCTGTACCTGGAGCCGGGGGCGGTCCCCCCGAATAGCCGGGCCCAGGCCTGGCCTGCCGGGCGGGCGCTGAAGGGGGCGTCCCCGCTCTACGGAGGCGGCGGGAGAAGGCGGCGCGGGCTGGGCCCCGGGCGGCTGCCAGGGCAACCAGGGATTTGCTGCCGGGAGGTACCACTGGCGCCGCGGCAGGGGCGGCCAGGCGGGCCCAGCGGGACGCAGGCCTGCAGAGGCCGGAACCCAGGAACCCCCGGGGGCGGGAGCGGCGCAGGTACGAGCGCAGGACGTTTGGAGGGGAATCCTGCCTCAGGTCAGGAAACCTCCCTAGTGCCTGGAGTGCTCACGCTACCACCAGATCCTTGGGGCTTTGAGCGCGCTGCAAAAGATCCTGGGGTTGCAGCTACCCTCCTCCCGATCTGCACACACCCACACACCTGCGCTTGCGCCGGCGCTCACCTCTCCTGGAGCCCCTGGGGCCGGCGCCCCGGCCCTGGAGGGGACAGTGGGGTCCCGGGGCCGGGCTGGCAGGGGTGGCTCCTGCTGGTTGCGCAGGGCGATTTGCCTCTGCAGCCGCAGCACCTCCCTCTGGGACTCGCGGAGCAGCCGGTCGAAGTCCCGCACGTGGAGCCACTGGGGACCCTCCTGGAGTGGGGGAACAGTGCGGGACGCAAGGGGAATCAGACCTAATTTCTGCTTACCCCGCCCCGACCCCAGCAGAGTCTACCTTCCACCATGCTGGAGGGGCTCGGGTGCGCGGGAATGTACACACCCTCCCATGCAGGCATGCCTGGTCTTACGTGCATGCATATGCGGCCACATGCTTTTGCTAGCCCATGTACAGGCATTCACAGTAAATCCTTTCCTGGGCACTGACGGCGCGCGCGGCGCTGTGCTAAATGCCTTGGGACTATCCCTTCACCAAAGTGTGAGGTATGTGTGGATTCCTAGTTTCAGACTCACCAGCACACAGCCACAAGCCTAGAGCACAGAAATGCCCAGTCTGGGACTCGTGGCTCCACCCTCTTCAGTTCGGGCTCCTCCCCCGCCACTCCCACCTGGGCGGTTGCCAGGGAAACCTACTCCCCTTCTACTTCATTTGCATCTCATTAACATCCCGTCCAAATCCTACATGCCAGGCAGAGGACCCTGTGGAGGGCTGAGATGGAAGGGATGACCAGGGCCTGCCCACACCTTGCCCACCAGGGTGAGCCTGGCCTGTAGCTCTCTGCACTCCCGCTGCAAGGCAGCAATCTGCTTGTCCTTGGCCAGCAGGGCGCTGGCTGTCTCACTCAGGTCCCGAGCTCGCTGGCGGGCCAGGGCCTTCCGGCACAGCTCCAAGCTGGCCCCGGGACGGGCCACTGGGGCACTCACCTAGCCAGAGGAGGGGTAAGGCCAATAGTCACCTGAGGGCTGAGACACTTCTCCCATGCCTCGGCTCCTCCCAAAAGAGGAGGTAGGATGAAAAGCATGGTCTCTTGCTTCTACCCTGTTTTGGGTCTCAGAGGACTGACCAGCAGCCTCCCTAGACCCCATCCCGGTAGTTCCCAAGCAGGACAAGGGTTAACTCCACATCAGTTTAGGCCTAAAGGATGCTGCTAATTCAAGGCTGCCACTGTGATGGGTCTTCTTCCTACCCCCCCCATTACAGCTCTTTCCCCCTGAGATGAGCTCAGCGGGAGGCTGCAGCCAGCACCAACACGTGGTGATGCAGAATGCTGCTCCCTTCCCGCTCAGGAGCCTCTCCTCCCAGCCCACTCTCCCTCCTGTAGCTCCAAAACCCTCAGCCTCCTGGCTTGGCCAGCTTTGGCCCTTTCTACTCCTCAGCCCCTGGATTCTTGCACCCCTGGGTATTCCTGGGTGTTAAGAGTCTGACTCCTCAGCCTCAGCTCCTAGATCCCGCCTTCCCTGGTCACCCAGCCTCCACAGATGCCTCCTGTGCTCACCACTCTCAGGTTCGTTTCCTGCAGCTTCCGGGCCCTCTCTTCTAGGCGCTTGGCAATGACAGCCAGCTCCGCGTTCTTCCTCTTCAGCCTCCGCACCTTCTCCTCTGTCTCAGGGAAGCTGCTCTTTCTCTGACAAGGGGTTAGCCAGAATTGGGGCATGTGTGGAACACCCCACAGACCCAAACCTGTCTAGACCGTGGGCCAGAGCCCTGGGCTCACAGTGGAGTCCTTGGGATTAGCCCTCTCTGGAACTTGGATTATGCCACCTCCATGGAGCCCCCAGCTGAAGGGATGTTGGGGGGAGGAGTGCACTGAGGCAGAGGACCCAGGACCTTGCTCTGCAAGCCTCACCAGCATCTGGTTTTCTTCCTTAAGGATGGCACAGCGCTGCTGCAGCTCCCCCAGGGCCCTCAGAAGCTCCAAATTGGGCCTCTCCCCGAAGCCCATGTTCAGCTTTGCCTGGTATGGGAAAGGACAGGGAACAGTAGTACCTCAGGAGCCCACCCATTCATTCAGAGCCTCCTACATGGAAGCATATACTCCCTCCAAGTCTTAGGAGACACGAAGATAAGAAGGTTCAGAGAGCGGCACAAGAGGCCTAGGACAAGAGGCTGACCCGTCCTCCCTACCCACTGGCACCTCCTCCCAATCTTGGAGCCTTCTCTGCTGTTCCCTGATCCTTCCCATCCCTGCACATCTTCTCCTCTTGGGAAATGCCAGCTTGAGATCCCATGCCAATCCCTCCAGAGATACCCCTGAAGTCCTGGTCCCTCCACCTTCTGCAGGAGGCTGCTCATGACCATCCCAAAGCTGGTCCTCCCTGGCTCAGCCCAGCACTGAACCCCTTCCCCTGAATCTTCCCCCACCGGACCATATACTTCCATATACGCTGAGACTCCCCAGCCCCCAAGAACAGAGACTTGTAGAGGAGGAGACAGACAGACAGACAGACAGACACACAGAGAGAGGGAGTCGGGGCAGGGACAGGACCAGATATAGACAGACAGGCCGAAGAGTCGGAGGGACAAAATGAAAAAAAAAAATAAAATGGAGCCACTGAAATTCCTGCCCAATGGAAGGAGGACAGATAGTCACAGAGACAGACCCACAGACAGAAACAAGCCAAGGGAAAAGGAGTGGTGGGTAGTGGGGTTGCATTTCTTGCCCTACCTCCTGACCGGGCTGACAAGAATGATGAGAGGCCCCGCTCCCCCTATCCCCCGCCTTGCGGACCCCATCATCCACACACAGCAGCAAGACACACAGAGAGGTAAGCTCTCTTACCTTAGGGAAAGGCTCTACCTCCTCGTCCTCCAGACTCGGGCAGCTGGGTCTAGAGCCCGTTGCTTGCTGCCCCAGGTCAGACAGTCCTGTTCCTTCAGGGTCAGTGCTGCCCACAGGCCCAGGGCTCTGGGCTTCCTCAGGCCCGGAACCCTCCTTGGGTCTCCGTTCTCTAACCTGCAGAGCTGCTGGAGTATCAGCAATGCCGGGGGCTGAGCTTCCAGGGTTACCCCCCTGGCCTGGAGTCCAGCTCTGCCAGGCAGGCAGTGTCCATGGCTCCATGGCTCCAGGGTCCCCAGGCCGTGGAAGGGTTGTCAGTTGCTCCATGGTACTGCCAAGGGGTCCCAGAACCCAGGCCAGGGGACATCCCCCAGTCCAGTAGGGGGGCTGGCCAGGGTCATGCCAGAGCAGACCCTTTCCCCTATAGCTCTTGGCTTCACCGAGGCTCCATCCAAGGTTGACTGAGCTCCTCCCAACCCACAAAGGAGGCTGCGAGAGGCTTCAGGGCTGCTGGAGCTGGAGCAGGGTATGTGAGCTATGTTTGCTCGCGGCAGTGCGTGTGCGCGGGTATGTGTATGTGGAGGAGCGAGGGTGTTCCTGTGGGGGCGGGGAGGCCACTGTGCAGAGGCCACTGACAGCAGTGCCTGGGTGAGGGTGTGCGTGTGTGTCTCCAGGTCTGTCTGTGCGGGTCAATGCTGTGCTGTGTGTATTTGGAGGATGGGAGCCCCCACTTACGCGTGTGAGGGGGGTGGTGCCGTGTGCCGCTGTCTGTGCCTGTTTCAGAGTTACCAGTTGTTCTTGTGTGTGGGTGTCTGTACTGCAGGGCTGTGGCAGTGTGCGATGCTGTCACTGGCTGTAGCTGAGTGTGTCAGTGTCGTACAGCTGTGTGTGTTGATGCCGTTGTGTGTCTGTCAGTGTCCGTGAATCTGGCCATCCATCTTGACCCCTCAGCCTGGCTCGGGTCCTCAGGAGCTTCTGGGTTGATCCCCAATGGTTCGCTGTGGTTCTTTATCTCCTGCTCCTCTGCACTGCTGCTCCCTCGCTTTCTGGGCAGCCGGACTGGTCCTAAGGAGGCCTGGGTCGATGGGCTGCTTGCCTCATAGTCTCTGCCCCTGCCGGCCTCAGCTCTGGGGACTGCAGGGGTCCCTTACAGTCCTGGAGCCCTGAGACGGTAGGCACGGAGGAGGGCTGAGCCTCAGAATGGGAAGGGGGGGTGGTGAGCAGAGGAGAACCAGTCCTCCCCTCCCCCTCCTCCTCCCCTCCCACCCACCAATAGGAAGTCGGCTGCTGGTTTCCATGGAGATGGCGCTGGACTGGTGGGCTGTACCGGCTGGCAGGGTCCGGATGGAGGAAGAGCAGGTTCCTCACGGGATGCCAGCCCAGCACCCCCTACATGTGGCCTCCCACCTCTCATCCCCACACGCCCTCGCACCTTCCGGGCACAGAGGCAAAGAGGCTGCAGACGATCCTCCCCACGCCGGGTGAGACTAGAGACTGGGGAGGGTATGACGAATAGAGCTCCAGCCTGAAAGAAGGGCAGGATTAGAAAAGATGGGATTCCAGATGAAACAAAGAGAGGGACGGAAATCAAGAGGCGGAAAACAGGAAGGTAGAGACGAAGAACAGAGATTTTAAAATAAACTGAGAACTGCTTCAGCTTCCTCCGGGCTGACCCCATTCTGGGGGCAGCGCGGCTGTCAGAGCTAGCCGGGCAGATCACATGGCTTGATGGGCTGGCTTCACTCCTCATTGTCAGGAAGTTCATCTTCTGTCTAGCTTTAGGCATTTTTACTATGGGAAAATGGCTTTTGGGAAAGACATGGGAACTCCCCTATCCAGGAGTCAGCTTGTGGGGACAGGACTCTAGACGGAGTCTCCAGAGACAGAGGTGTTGAGAGAGGCTTCAAGAGTGGCAGACCCTCGGGAACCAGCATTCAGCGTAATGGCTATGTCGCTGGACTCCCACGTAGTCGACCGCGGTTCGCGTCCCGGACCCAGTGGCTTAAAACTCACACCAGGCGCATGTGCGTGCATGCCCAACATCACGAGAGGAGAATGGAGGAGAAAATCACCCCCGGGGGGTGATTTCTCGCTTTCTCTCTCTATGTCTCTGTCTGTCTGGCGAACGAATGCGCCCTATAGCGAAAAACCTCTAAAAAAAAAAAAAAAAGAGTTGCAGACCCTCTCCCTTCTGAACCTGGGACTCAGCAGACAAGCCAGTCTCCACCCAGGTCGGGGGCCCTCGTGTGGCACCCTGAGGGACAGCAGCAGTGGCACCGAACCACAGAGCTTCTGACCGTGGTTTCCACCCCAGCCAGAGCTTAGGGGTCGGTGTGTGTGTGTGGGGGGTGTACACTGGGAGTAGGTGATGCCTTCCTTTTCCTAAAAGGAAGGTCAGCACACATGCCACCGTATGATGTGTGGCCGATGTTTGCATCAGGGTGTATATGCACACCGCTATAGGCATGCATATTCATAGTATGCAAATACAACGCAGACATATATTTCTGTACATGTGAAGGGGCTCTGTATGTGTATGTGCCGTTATGTGTGAATGTATATGTATGCCTGTTTCTATGTGTCACTGAACATCTGTCTACTTGCCAGTGTCCATGTGAATCTATCATTGTGAGTTTACAAATTCCAACACATATGTCCTGATATATGTATATAGATGTCACTACATGTCATTATATTTGTCATTATATTTAGTCATGTAAACATGCATAATGACATATAATGACATGCGTACAAATGGTCATCCTGTATCTATTTCATATTTATCATTCTGTGTGTATCACTATGTACATGATACATGTGGGGCTGCTGTGTTTATGTGGAACTCGCTATATGTATTTGTTCTTGTGTGACGCATCATGTTTATATCATTGCATGAGTGCACACTATTAAATATGTAAAACATGCCCTGATGGAGCCAGCAGGTGGCATGATGGTTAAGGCATTGGACTCCCACATGGCTGACTACAGTTCAAGTCCGAACCTGGCAGCTTGCTTTCTCACTTTCCCTTTCTCTCTCTGCCTCTCTCTGGTCAAACTAAACAAATAATAATTTAAAAAATAATATAAGTGGGGCTGGCAAGTGGTATGGTGATTAAGATGGTGGACTCCCATATGGCCAACCACAGTTCAAGTCCTGGACTTGGAAGCTTGCTTTCTCACTTTCTCTATCTCTTTCTCTCTCTGGTCAAATTAAAATAATAATAATAATAAATAAAATTAAATAAATAATAAAATAAAATAAGGTAATTCTTTTTAAAAATGCCCTGGGTGGGGACTAGCAGATGGCGTAATGATTACATTGCCAGACTCTCACGTAATCGACTGTGGTTTGAGTCCTGGATCCTGCAACTTAAAACTCACACCAGGCACGTGTGTATGTGTGCCCAAGATCCCGAGAGGAGAGTCGAGGAAAACAGATTGCAGTGTGGCTGTCCTGGAGGGTGGTTTCTCACTTGCTGTCTCTGTCTCTATAGTAAGCAAACATATAGCAAAAATCTCTAAAAAAAAAAAATAATAATAATACCCTGGGTATGTGTACATTTGTGTCATTGTATGGCATGCCAGCCACATCACTTGTGTGTGTGTCATTGTATCTGTTGCTGTCATGCACATACGGGATTCTGTGTGTAAATGCACGTGCATGCGAGCATGTGTGTGTGCCTTTGTCTACGTGTAAGATGCTGTGTGTGCCACGGTGTTGCCCAGTTCTTTTACTACCAAGGGTCCCCCTAGACTTGAGTGGATTAAAACAGGAGATAGGCAGCCTTCCGTCTGAGGTGCAGTGAAGGGAGGGCGGACCAGAGCCAGAGCCAGGTAAAATGTGGGCAAGCCCCTCTTCTCCTTGCCCCTTCACATTCTACCCCCTTTCCTCCCATGGCCGAGGTCCTCCCCGCAGCCCAGGCCCTTCCCTCCTCCAGGTACAGCCTGTGGGAGCCCTCTTCTAACCTCACAGGTGAAGTGGAACCCATGTCCCCTGGGACAGTGAGGGTGACTCTCACCCCAGCCCCTCTGTGTGCCTGTTACCCCACTCAGCCCCCACCCCAGAAACAGAGTCTCAGACAAAGAGCAGAGTCCATTCTTTATTAGTGGTGGGGCCTGCACCGCCATCCGTCCCTCCATCTACCCTTCTTTTCCACCTCTTCCTTTTCGTTTCCACCCCTTCCTCTGCCGATGGCCGATGGTGGCTGTTGCGTCAGGGGTCTTGCCCTCCCCACATCCTCCCTGCACCCTCCCACACTTCAGGGCAGCAGAAGAGCTGCTGTGGCATTTCCCAGTGATCCAGAGGCAGGAAGGGCAGCGCTGTGGGGGACAGTGGAGGCCTTTCAGGGGTCTGGGCAGGGAGAGGACGGTTCGGGAGGTGCTCACCTGGCACAGCGGGCTGCGCATGGAAGCCGGCGGTGGCGGGCGGCAGCGGTGGGTGGTCTCCGAAGCCCACAGTACACTCATCCATAAAGTAGGAAACACTACACCCTCCATTGCTGTTAGTAGTGCTTTCTACTTTATGGGTGACTGCACTGTCTGTCTGTCCGTCCGCGTGGACTCTTCAGGCCGCCCGCTCTTCTTCCTGAGTCTTGCTTCAAGAGGCCCCCAGCCCCCTCCACAGTATCCTAAGACCCCCTCCTCTGCCCCTGGCCCCCAAAGGGCCCGCCCTGGGCCTTGTGGGCGGTGACTCAGCATGGCGCCAGACTTGCCTCTTCTACCTCCCTCCCCCACTTCCTCTTTAGTTCCCTCTTCCCTTCCCCCTAAGGCTCCACCCCACCCCACCCCTACCCCCACTTTTAAGGACACTCAGGTAAAGGCCACTGCTACTCTGGAGACCTCACCCCAACCCCCAGTTCTCTGACCCCCTAGCTGGCCCCTCACAGCCATACTAACCATCTTCCAGGGTCCCTCCCAGGCAGCCACAGCTCCCTCCCCACCAAGGCCTCAGTCCCTAGGCTCCCGCCAGCCCAGGATCCTGACCCCCCAAGGTCTTAGTCCAGAGCCCAGGGTTCTGACCTCCCCAAGGTCTTGGTCCTCAGCCTCCCCCCACCAGCCCAGGTCCTGACCCCCCACTAGCCCAGCATCGTGACCCCACAGGCCTCAGTCCCCAGCCTCCCCACTAGTCCAAGGTCCTGACTCCCTACTGCCTGGTGGGTGCTGCTCCCCAGGTAGGAGCCCGAGAGTACTGAATAGACATGGTGGCCATGCTGGGCAGAAGCCGCTTAGTGTCTCTGGCTGACACCATTCTCACTTCGGCCTCCGCCTGCCCTCTGCCTTTCCCATCTTATTCTCCAGCTCTGCTCCCCTGGAGCTGTTGGCACCCTTTCTTTAGCTGGGAGCCAGGCTCCATTTTACCCTCCTTGACTAGAGAGGGTTTTGAGAGCTGTCCCACCTCCCCTCAGGCAGGAAGAACTGAGAATGATGGCACCTCTTTGCCTAAAGCCTTTTTAGTAAGCCTTGGCACCCAGTTCTGAACCCCACCCCAAGCGTCTCCACCCAGAGCCTGCACCCCAAGCCCCTCATGGCCCCTGGGGCCAAGTTGAGGAGCTCCCGTCTGGGGTCAAAGTGAAGGTTGCCTTACCTGATGTTGCAGGGCTAAGGGGAGAAGGCCCTGTGCTCCCGGCTCCGAAGTGGGGTTCCCTTCAGGGCGGGCAGGGCTTATAACCCCGAGGCCACGTGGGCCAGATCTCAGGGCGCCCAACGGTCTTGGAGCCCGCCCCCACACCGCAGTGGAGATTAGCACGCCCCTCCCTTCCCTGGGGAGGACAGAATGACAGGAAACCAGAGACAAGGCTGGTTATTGGCGAGTGGGGGCTGAAGAGACCACCTCACACCCTGGCCTGGGCAGGTGGCTTCCGGACTCCCGGCCTGCCCTGTCCCCCTCGGCACCAGCTCCAGGGGACTATTCAAGTGTCTGGGACTGACTCAGGGCATTGGGGGTGACCCCAGGAGATAAGAGTTCCCTGACCACGTCTTCGTTGAGTGCTCAAAACAGGGATCTTTGAATTCTAGTGCAAGAAAAGGACATCTCTAAGCCCCGCTCCCGCCCCAGCCCTGAGAATTCACTTCCCTCTGGACATTTAGACCGAGTCACGGCTCCTCTATGTGTGCTCCCCAGGGAGGCCATGAGGTCCCAGGCCCACACACTACTACGCCCTCCACCTAGACAGTTGCACTCAGCACCCCACAGGCTA